GAAGGGTAGAGAAGGAGAGAAGGAGGGAGAGAAAGAGAGAAAGAAAGAGGGAAAGAAGAAGGGAAATAAGGAGAGAAAGAAGGAAAGAAAGAAGGGTAGAGAAGGAAGGAAGGAGAGGAGGGAGGGAAAGAGAGAAAGAAAGAGGAAAAGAAGAAGGGAAAGAAGGAGGGATGGAGAGAAAGAAGGAAAGAAGAGGATGATAGAGAAGGTAGGAATGAGAGAAGTAGGGAGTGAAAGTGAAAGAACAAGGGAAAGAAGAAGGGGAAGAAGAGAAGAAGAGAAAAAAGGAAAGAAATAAGGGTAGAGAAGGAAGGAAGGAGAAAAGGAGTGAGAGAAAGAGAGAGAGAAAGAGGGAAAGAAGAAGGGTAGGAGTGAAGGAAGGAAAGAAAGAAAGAAGGGTAGGAAAGGAAGGAGAGAAGGAGGGAGAGAAAGAAAGAGGAAAAGAAGAAGGGAAAGAAGGAGGGAAGGAGAGAAAGAAGGGTAGAGAAGGAAGGAGGGAGAGAAAGAAGGAAAGAAAAAAGGTAGAGAAGGAAGGAGAGAAGAAAATAAAAAAGTGAAAAAGGGAAGGAAGGAGAGAAGGAACGAAAAAGAGGAAGGGAAGGAATGAAGGAAAGAGACATGGAAGGATAAAACCAAAGTGCAAAGGAAGTGAGAAAGAAACAGGTAGAGAAGGAAGAAAGAAAAGAAGGGAAAGAAAAAGAGGGAGAGAAGGAAGGAGACAAAGAAAGAAGGAGAGAAAGAGGAAGGTTGGCCATAGCAACGTGTGGCAGGTACAGCTAGTAATAATATAAATTATCTTGACGGGCCGGATGCAGCCCGCGGGCCGTAGTTTCTCCTGGATCTGGAAACATGGCTCCTTGTGGGCCCCACAATCCAAGAAGGAGGGCTTGGGACGCGTTCCCATATCCCAGCATGGGCTCTCCTTTGGAGGCTTGGCATGTGCCAGCTTTCGTGTGCCAGCTCGCAGAAGCCGCGGCCACCCACCGTCTTAAGGCCGGCTGGCCTGAACGAACCCGTTGACCCATTAAAAAGTGGCCCTTTGACAAAACTTGTTTTTAAGGCACTCCTGCGGAGAGCAACGCAAGCAGTAAAGAGGGCTTTTTGGAGATAGCTTATCGGCTTCAGAATTCCCTTGTAAGCCAGGGAGAGGCTTCACGGGGCGCATTTGGGATAAATATTTCATTGTGTTGTTTTTTCTGCGCTTTCTTGGCATGGCAATGAGATCCCTGGAAAGCCACGTCTTTGGACGATAATTGCCAGGTTCCTCTGCTGGAACGCTGCAAAAAGTCACTTTTATCCTGCTCCTTATACAATATTCAATTATTAATAATAATATAATAATAATAATTATTATTATTATATTATATATAATAATTATTATATTATATATAATTATTATTACATTATTTATTTATTTATTTATTTATTTACTTTGCTTATATACCGCTGTATCTCAAGCCCGAAGGCGACTCAAAAACTTTTCTCCCGCTCCTTATACAATATTCAATTAATAATAATATAATTATTATTATATTATATATAATTATTATTATATTATATGTAATTATTATTACATTATATATTATTATTATTAATTGAATATTGTATAAGGAGCAGGATAAAAGTGACTTTTTGCAGCAATATTCAATTAATAATAATATTATTATATTATTATATATAATTATTATTATATTATATATAATTATTATTACATTATATTATTACATTATTATTATTAATTGAATAATTAATAATAATAATAATAACTTTTCTCCCGCTCCTTATACAATATTCAATTAATAATAATATAATTATTATTATATTATATATAATTATTATTACATTATATTATTACATTATTATTATTAATTGAATATTGTATAAGGAGCGGGATAAAAGTGACTTTTTGCAGCATTATTCAATTAATAATAATATTATTATTATATTATATATAATTATTATTATATTATATATAATAATTATTATTATATTATATTATTATTATTAATTGACTATTGTATAAGGAGCGGGATAAAACTACAAACTGTATTTGTACCCCTTTTAATGTTGTATGTGTTGTAGGTATCACGTTGTGATTTTTTTTAAAAGACAGGAAAGCAGGATGGAAATACTTTAGTAATTATTAATGGCATAGAACAAAGATTAAAATGCAGCACACTCTTGCTTAACCAGAACATTATTATTGTTGAAGGCTTTCATGGCCGGAATCACTGGGTTGCAATCGCGTCTTGCGGGAACGAGAGACAGGGCCTTCTCTGTGGTGGCCCCTCGGCTATGGAACTCTCTCCCGATTGAGATCAGATCTGCCCTCTCCCTCCTGTCCTTCAGGAGGCTGGTGAAATCCTGGCTATGGAAGGAAGCATTTCCGTAAGTTTCTGGCCGTGTTCCAGAAGCATTCTCTCCTGACGTTTCGCCTGCATCTACGGCAGGCATCCTCGGAGGTTGTGAGTTCTCTTTGACACAGATATATGAACCACCAAGACAATTAAGATCTTCTGGTGGGGCCCTGCTCTTGGTCCCGCCACTTTTGCAATCGCGCCTGGCGGGAACGAGACAGGGCCTTTTCTGTGGTGGCCCCTCAGCTATGGAACTCTCTCCCGATTGAGATCGGATCGGCCCCCTCCCTCCTGTCCTTCAGGAGGCTGGTGAAATCCTGGCTATGGAAGGAAGCATTCCCAGAGTAATGTTTGAGACCGGCTGCAGAACAAAGTTATCAACCACACATACGGACTGAGTTGGACATGATCTTATCTTGCCAATTTGGCTTATTTATAATTGTAATCTACAACTCGTTATTATTTCGTTTTTTACTCTTTACTCTTTTTTTTTACTTTACTCTTATTTTTTGTTGTTGTTTTATATATATATATATAATTTTGTTGTTATAATTTTGTTTATATATATATATATTTTAAAGCATTATTTCTTTTTTTACTCTTTACTCTTTTTTACTTTTCTCTTGTATATTTTTGTTGTTATATATATATTAATTTTGTTGTTAATATATATATAATTATATATGTATAATTTTGTTTAATTTTATTATTATATATATAATTATATATATAATTTTGTTGTTTAATTTAGTTGTTGTTGTTATTATATATATATGTGTGTGTGTATATATATGTGTGTGTGTATGTATGTATGTATGTATGTATGTATATATATATATATATATATATATATATATATATATATGCTCTGTGCGTCATGAGTACCTTAAAAACAAACGAACCAATGAATGAAATCACACAAAATTTGGCAACAAAATGTCTCACAACACAAGGAGTGACCATCACTCAAAAAATTATGATTTTGTCATTTGGGAGTTGTAGTTTCTGGGATTTATAGTTCACCTACAATCAAAGAGCATTCTGAACCCCACCAACGATGGAATTGAACTAAACTTGGCACACAGTTCTCCCATGACCAACAGAAAATACTGGAAGGGTTTGGTGGGCAGTGTCTTTTGGTTTTGGAGTTATAGTTCACCTACATGCAGAGAGCACAGCATTATGGATCTGGACCAAACTTGGCACGAATACTCAATATGTCCAAATGTGAACACTGGTGGAGTTTGGGGAAAATAGAATCTTGACATTTGGGAGTTGTCGTTGCTGGGATTTATAGTTCACCTACAATCAAAGAGCATTCTGAATCCCATCAACGATAGAATTGATAGAATTGGGCCAAACTTCCCACACAGAACCCCCATGTGGGCCACAGACGGCTAGTGTGTGTGTGTATGTATGTATGTATATGTGTGTGTGTATATATATATATATATATATATATAAACACAACAACAAAAATATACAAGAGTAAAGTTGTTCCATGAAGTTTGTTTTTTATTTGTTTTTAATGGCAGTATTTCCATATTAATATCAAGTCAAAGCAAAGTTTATGATCTAATCATGGGATATAGAATTAGTTAGGCTTATTTGTAGTAACTCTCAAACAAGCAGAAAGTACATCTTATCTATTTGCATGGGTGCCGGTTAACTGAGAGTCTACCTGAATTCAAATTGGCAGTATTTCCATATTAATATCAAGTCAAAACAGAGTTTAGGATCTAATCATGGGATATAGCATTAGTTAGGCTTATTTGTAGAAACTCTCAAATAAGCAGAAACTACATCTTATCTATTTGCATGGGTGCCGGTTAACTGAGAGTCTACCTGAACTCAAATTTTAAAATCCATCTGGTTTTGTGCAATCATTAATTCCCTGGCATTGATTTTAAATAAAAGTATATCAAGTCAAAACAGAGTTTAGGATCTAAGAATGGGATATAGCATTAGTTTAGGCTTATTTGTGGAAACTCTCAAACAAGCAGAAACTTCATCTTATCCTATTTGCATGGGTGCCGGTTAACTGAGAGTCTACCTGAACTCAAATTTAACATCCATCTGGTTTTATGCAATCATTAACTCTCTGGCATTTATTTTAAATAAAAGTATATCAAGTAAAAACAGAGTTTAGGAGCTAATAATGGGATATAGAATTAGTTAGGCTTATTTGTAGTAACTCTCAAACAAGCAGAAACTGCATCTTATCCTATTTGCATGGGTGCCGGTTAACTGAGAGTCTCCCTGAACTCAAATTTAACATCCATCTGGTTTTATGCAATCATTAATTCTCTGGCATTGATTTTAAATAAAAGTAAACAACAGATACAAAAAGCTTATTTCTATGAGCATGACATAAACAACAGATATTTCTATGGGCATGACATCAGGTTTGTTAGGGATCTGTTTGAGGTTTGTTTCCTTTTCGCCTGTGTTTTGCATTGTGAATTGCACCACGGTCCCTAACTGCGGATTAGGGGAAAAAAGAAGGACACCAAGTGAGTGTGTGTGCGAGCGGAGACTCTGCCGCCGTCCATATATGGGCATGCCCCAAACTCCGCTTTCTGATTGGCTGCGGCGCTGCATGCATATGTCTGTCAACAAATGGGGGCGCCTTGCAGATGGTGAGTGTACGGGGCAGGGAGAGAGTGGCAGCCTTAAAGGGCCCGCTCGCTGGCGGCGCAAAAGCAAAGGGAGGGGATTTAAAAGGGACGCTGGCCCTTTAAGGGATCAGGTAGCTGGCGCATGCACACTTTCACACTCACACTAAAAGGAAAATGCACCCCTTCCAATGATCCCTCTGCAAAAAAAGGGGAAAAAATCCCTGTTTGGCAACCTGTGGATTCCCTCCTATTTGCATTGCAATCATTTAAAGGCCTCCCAAGCCCAGGATGATGGGTTTTGCAAGAGGCCTCCTCTAGAGCAGAGCTCCCAACACACCCATCATCCACCTATGGCTTTTGGGTAACAGGTAAGAGGGGTTTTGGAGGTGGGAGGCCTTGCAAAGATCCATGCAAATGAGAACAACAATAATAATAATCCAAATTGTCCATTGCAGTGTTGTTGCCTTTGTGCAAAAGGTGGCACTTTGGGGGTGTGTGTAATATATCATTGGGGGAGAAATCAGAATATAGATACTGTATAATAATAATAATAATAATTGTTGTTATTATATTAAGTATTTTATATTATTATACTATATATATGATATTATTATCTTATATGAATTATATTATCATATTATTATATAATATATTATTGTTATTATTATATTAAATATTTTATAGTATTATATATGATATTATTATCTTATATGAATTATATTATATTATAATATTAAATATTTTATAGTATTATATATGATATTATTATCTTATCTTTTATTATTATTGTTATATTAAATATTTAATATTATTATACTATGTATATTATATTATATAAATTATTTTATATTATATTATATGTGATTGTTATTGTTATTATATTAAATATGTTATATTATACTATATACGATATTATATTATCTCATATGAATTATCTTATACATTATATCATATATTATTATTGTTGTTATTATATTAAATATTTTATATTATTATACTATATATGATATTATATTATCTTATATGAATTATATATTATTATTATATATATATATATAATTGTTATTATTATATTAAATTTTTTATATTATATATATTTAATATTATTATATAATATAATATATATTATATTATATATTATATTATATATTATATTGTTATATTAAATATTTTATGTTATTATACTATATATGATATCATTATATTATCTATATATTATTTATTATATTATTATATATATTATTATTGTTATTATTAAATATTTTATTATCTACACTATATTGTTATATATAATATTATATATTATAATATATATTACATTATTATAATATAATTATTTTTATTATTTTATATTATTATTGTTATTATATTAATATTTTATATTATATTATATATATATTATTATATATTATATAATTATTATATCATATATTATTATTATTGTTATTATATTAATTATTATATATATAATATATTTATATTATAAATATTTTATATTTATATATATATGATATCATTATATTATATTAATTTTATTATATTATTATATCATATTATTGTTATTATGGTATATTAAATATTTTATAGCATCATACTATATATATTATATTAATATATAATATAAATTATATTATATTATATATTGTTATTGTTATTATATTAAATATTATATATTATTATACTATATATATATAATCTTATAATATTATATGTTATTCTTGTTATTATTATATTATACATAATATCTATTATAAATTATCCTTAAAGACACATTTCACCCATGTGTTGTTGTTGCCGCTGTGATGCTTACACACCCACCTTGGAAACCCTGGCACGGAAAGGCATCTGTTGTCTCTTTGATAGCATAGATAGAGGCATGGGCAAACTTTGGCCCTCTGGGTGTTTTGGACTTTAACTCCCACAATTCCTAACACAGCCTACTGGCTGTTAGGAATTGTGGGAGTTGAAGTCCAAAACACCCAGAGGGCCAAAGTTTGCCCAAGGCTGAAAGATAGCAGCCCCGAGATCATCTCTTCCCTTCTGAATCCTAAAGTTGGAAGGGATCTCCAAAGGCCAGTCAACTCTATTCTGCAAAGCAGGGAGACACCATCAAATCCCTCCTGACAGATGGCCATCCAGTCTCTGTTGAATCATAAAATCATACAGGTGGAAGGGACCCCCCAAAAGTCATCCAGTCCAACTCCATTCTCTCAGTTAGGGAGATACCATCAAAGGCTGTCCAGTCCAAACTGCCTTCTGTCAGGCTGGGATACACCGTCAAAGCCCTCCTGACAGATGGCCATCCAGTTTCTGTTGAATCATATGGTTGGAAGGGACCCCAAAGGCCATCCAGTCCAGATGGTCGCCCATTGAATCAGAATTCTAGATTAGTAAGGGAACTTCAAAGGCCATCCAGTTCAAACCCATTCTGCCAAGCAGGAGGGCACAAACAAAGCCTTCCCAACAGATGGCCATCCAGCCACTGTTTTGATATTATTATTTATCACCATCATTGTTACTACTCTACTTTGATATTATTATTATTTTTTGATATCATAAACTAGTATTATTATGCTGTTATATCATTCCACTTTATAATAATAATAATAATAATTATTATTATTATTATTATTATTATTATTATTGGTACACTTTTATATTATTATTATTATTATTATTATTATTATTATTATTATTATTATTATTATCTGTCCCCTGCCACATGTTGCTTTTGTCCAGTCTGTGCAGATGTGTTTTCTGTGTGTATATTTGTGTATATGTGTATATATGTGTGTTTGTGTATATATATGTGGTTTTGCACATGTGTTGTAATGTATTTTTGGCTTTTTTATGTCTCTTCTGTGTTTTTCAGTGTTTTTATGAGTGATGGTCACTCATTGGTCTGATCGGTGTATTGTATCCAAATTTGGTGTCAATTCTCCCAGTGGTTGTTGAGTTATGTTAATCCCACAAAGGAACATTACATTTTTATTTATATAGATTTAACATAAAATATTATTTATTTATTTACGACATTTATTTGCCGCCCTTCTCACCCCTAAGGGGACTCAGGGCAGCTTATAAGGTGTGTATGTGTGTGTGTATATATTATTATTATTATTATTATTATTATTATTATTATTATTAGCATAGTACAATATCAGTTTTAAATATTGCTATATTGTACTATACCAATTATATTGTAATATTATTAGTAATATTACATGTAATATAAATGTATAATTATAATATCATATTATTCTACATTATTATTATTCTTCCTTATAACCACATAAGCTTTCCAGTACAATTCCATTCTTCCAGGTTGGGAGACACCATCAAAGCCCTCCTTACAGGTGTCAGTAAAATAATAACAATAACAACAATAATAAGTGTCCGGCGTGTGATCCAATACAACAGCCAGCAGAGTGTCTGCTGTGGACTCATCTTGTAGTATTTCAAATAATAATAATAATAATAATAATAATAATAATAATAGTGTAAGTAAAATAACAACAACAACAAGTGTCCGACGTGTGATCCAATACAACAGGCAGCAGAGTGACTGCTGTGGACTCGTCTTGTGGTGTTTCAAATAATAATAATAATAATAATAATAATAATAATAATAATAATAATAATAATTGTGTCAGTAAAATAATAACAATAACAACAACAATAAGTGTCCGACGTGTGATCCAATACAACAACCAGCAGAGTGTCTGCTGTGGACTCATCTTGTGGTGTTTATAATAATAATAATAATAATAATAATAATAATAATAATAATAATAATAATAAATAACACAGTCCTAGAAACTTGGGAAGTGTTCGACTTGTAATTTTGTGATACAAAATCCAGCATATAGATCTCGTTTGCTGTGACATACTGTGCTTTTGTGTCAATAATAATAATAATAATAATAATAATATAGTTTTCAAGCCAGGTGTCATCCATCCCATATCTGTGCCTTTTATTGTCATTGCCTACCCGTAGTACCCAATACATTTCTCCCTGTTGGAATTCATTTTGTTGTTGTGAGTCCAGCTAATTTTGTTGTTTTGGGCCCATCTCCCTAATCTGTGAAGGTCATTTGAAATTCTGGGCCTGGATTGGCCAATTTGGCAATAGCCCCTTCCTCTAATTATTATTGTGTAAAGATGGATGACCGGAAAATGGGTGTGTATCAGGTGGGCTTCATCCCATAAAACACTCTAAGGATTGTCTTTCTGATGTGTACATTCATTTTGTTTACTTTCTTTTAATATGTCTCCTTGTGGAGAGAAGAAAATGGGGTATAAACATAAACATAATAATAATTTATTTATTTATCGTGTCATCAGCAACCATACCATTGTATTACATTTCTAACAGAACAAAACAAAAAAACACAGATTTTGCAAGCTTGGTAGTTGATTAAATGTCCTTTGACCAGTATCTGGCCACTTGGAGTGCCTCTGGTGTTGCCGCAAGGAGGTCCTCCATGGTGCATGTGGCAGGGCTCAAGTTGCATTGCAGCAGGTGGTCAGTGGTTTGCTCTTCTCCACACTCGCATGTCGTGGATTCCACTTTGTAGCCCCATTTCTTAAGGTTGGCTCTGCATCTCGTGGTGCCAGAGCGCAGTCTGTTCAGCGCCTTCCAAGTTGCCCAGTCTTCTGTGTGCCCAGGGGGAATCTCTCATCTGGTATCACCCACTGATTGAGGTTCTGGGTTTGAGCCTGCCACTTTTGGACTCTTGCTTGCTGGGTGTTCCAGCGAGTGTCTCTGTAGATCTTAGAAAACTATGTCTTGATTTAAGTCGTTGACTTGCTGGCTGATACCCAAACAGGGGATGAGCTGGAGATGTCTCTGCCTTGGTCCTTTCACTACTGGCTGCTCCTTCCCGGCGGATGTCAGGTGGTGCAATACCGGCTAAGCAGTGTAATTTCTCCAGTGGTGTAGGGCGCAGACACCCCGTGATAATGCGGCATGTCTCATTAAGAGCCACACCCACTGTTTAAGCGTGGTGAGATGTGTTCCACACTGGGCATGCATACTCAGCAGCAGAGTAGCATAGCGCAAGGGCAGATGTCTTCACTGTGTCTGGTTGTGATCCCCAGGTTGTGCCAGTCAGCTTTGTATGATATTGTTTCTAGCACCCACTTTTTGCTTGATGTTCAGGCAGTGCTTCTTGTAGGTAAGAGCACGGTCCAGAGTGACTCCCAGGTATTTGGGTGCGCTGCAATGCTCCAGTGGGATTCCTTCCCAGGTGATCCTCAGAGCTCGGGATGCTTCTCTGTTCTTGAGATGAAAGGCACATGTCTGTTTTAGATGGGTTGGGGATCAGCTGGTTTTCCCTGTAATAGGCAGTAAGAGCACCTAGAGCTT